GGGGGGGGGTGTACAAGGGATAATTTTCAAAATGACCGGGTCAAATCACTTAACCTTTTCAATTGATAAAATGTCTAGATTACCCTTAATGAACTCAAATAAGTATATTACAGAATTAGTCCTATCTTTTAATTTTATCTTGTATTCCTTTTATTTTGAATATCAAAATATAAATCCATTCTATGATCTAATAAATTAGAATAATTGATAACATATTGTTTGTATTTTTCTTTAAGTCTATTATATTCTTCATATAGTATATTAATATTTTCTAACTGAGAAGTAATATTATTTATATTTTCTAGTAAATTATCTAATCTTTTAATAATATATCTTGACATCAAACTATCAATATTATGATAAATAATCCCTAACTTTTTTTCTTAGGCTATGACTAAAAGTCATAAGAACTTCTTAAATAACATGCAATTAATGCAAGTATTTGATATACATAAGAAAGATCTTACAGTATTGAAGCAGGAGATAAAGGCAGAGTAATATCAATGAGATTTTCCTTGAGCTTGCACCCATATGTTAATATACTCATTATATAAGTGATTGGTGCTATTTGAATTTAAGAAAGTGGGTTATGGTCCAACATAACTTTCGCACATAATTGTTTTTCTCTCTGACTCTTTTGCATATCTCACAATGGATTACAATTTTCCTTCCAATTCCTTGTCAAAACATCACCTTGAATGGTAACAGGGTTCTCAATGCTTTCTCAACAATGCTAAAAAAACCTACACACGGTAAAACAACAAAAAGATACTCGCACAAACCCTCAAGGTTTTCACCGTTGAAGTATAAGTAAGACGAGAGTTTTTGAGAAAGTAATAAGGATGAGAATACACCCTTTTCAAACAACTTTCATAAATACATCACACTAATATCTCTCATAAGAGTACATATACATACTTCGGCTACACTCTTGGTACTTTCTTTAAGGAAATTAGAACTCTATAGAGATTACCTTATATGTACACTTCACTTCAAAGAAAGAAATTGAAATTGTTACAAGACTTGGAATACAAGGTAGAGATAAATTTTTGATTTTTTTTACTTTCCCCCTCGCTCTTGAGAACTAGTCTTCAGTTTATAGATTGGAAAAAGCTCCACAATTGTCCTTCATTATTGTTGCTTTAACTGTGTAAGATATTGAGTATCTTACTATGGCCTAAAGTTTTCTGGAAAAAGCTCCACAATTGTCCTTCATTATTGTTGCTTTAACTGTGTAAGATATTGAGTATCTTATTATGGCCTAAAGTTTTCTTGTTGTAATCTGAAAATAATTGAGGTAAACACACAGTTTTTCTTTATCAAAATGATTTTGATAAAGGGGTCCCTTACTTTTCCATATGTGACTCAAACCACTCTTCCTGAAATTTTGATGGCTTAAGAGAGTGGTGAGATGTCGCCTTCAGTGTAACAACACTCGCACTTATGATTAGGATAATGTCAAAACTGTTTGCACAACTCTTCTTTTGTTTTCTGTGTCCCACTAGCTTGTCCTTCAAAGATATGATCACACTATGTGTTGAGATAGTGCCAATCTTTTTGTTTAGTGGGTGTAACAGCTTTACTGTAAATCATGTGACTCATAAACCCAAATATTTTGTTTTTCTTCAATAACCTTTTGGATATGCTCGAACTGCTCCTTATATCCTTTGATTATACGAAAAGCTATCATCTTGATAGTGCCTTCTGGTGTAGTTTCATGAATTTCACTTTTCTCAGGCTGGAAATGCTTAGAAGTGGTAGCTGTTCTTATGATATGGCTTACTGGAAGTAATTTATCTTCTTCATCTTTCCATTCAGGACAAGCAGAGAAAAACTTAATATAAATATTCTTGTGTTTAAGAAATTGACAATATCTTTCAATAGCTCGAACAACATCCTTTAGTAGCATAGAAATTTCTTTTAATGATTCAGATGAGTAAATAGAAATTATATTTCCCATTTCGTAAAAAATGTTTGGTTGTTAAGAAAGGAGTAGCAAAATTTGAACATCGTTTGTTATCCAGGAGCCCTAGCTTATTGGGAATTGAACTAAAAGAATGTTATCATGAACATCCCTTAGCGAAATGGGACAAAGATAAACCTATGGCAACTATTGAATTAAAAAATCCAGATGTTAACAGGAAAACAATTCCCTTATAGCGAAGAAGATAAAAAGGAATTTGAAATACAAATTAAAGAACTTTTAGGATTAGGTGTTATAAGTAAATCATCTAGTCCATATAATAGTCCTGTATTTATGGTCAGAAATCATAGTGAAATTAAAAGAGGAAAAGCTAGAATGGTAATTGATTACAGAGATCTAAATTCTAAAACTATACCTAATAGCTATAAATTGCCAATAAAAGATTTGTTAATAAAACAAATACAAGGAAGTAAATTATATTCTAAATTTGATTGTAAATCTGGATATTGGCAAATAGAACTAGACGAAGCATCAAAACCTTTAATTAGTTTTACTACCCCTAATCCATTAGGACAATTTGAGTGGAATGTTATGACATTTGGATTAATGAATGCCCAAACAACATTTCAACAAAGAATGGATAAGATTATTAGACCAATAAAAAAAATTTGTATTGCTTATGTAAATGATATCCTTATTCATAGTAAAAATTTAAAAGAACATATGTCACCTTAAAATTTTTTATTATATTGCTAAAAAATATGGTCTAGCCCTATCAGAAAGAAAGGCAAAAATAGCTAAAACTGAAATTGAATTCTTAGGATATATTTTTACAGAAGAGAAAATACTCCAACAACCTCATATTGGAAAAATGATTATCGAATTTTCAAAAATAATTAGAGATAAGAAAGAGCTACAAAACTTTATTGGATTATTAAATTATTCTGAAAAATTTATAAAAAAACTGTTCAAAATACAAAGTCCACTTTACCAAAAAGCTTAGAAAAGGAGTTGTATGGGAATGGACACAAGAAAATATTGAAATGATAAACAAATTAAAGAAAATATGTGAAAATTTACTTGAATTAAATTCCAAATGATGATGATTTCTATATTTTAGAAACTGATGCATCTCTATTACACTGGGGAGCGATCCTCAAAAGAAAAGAAAATCATAAAGAATTTCTTTGTAATCCATTGTGTAAATGCTCAGAAGAACTTGTTGCATACACTTCAAGTGCTTTTAAGGATGCAGAAACCAGACATGATATTAATCGTAAAGAATGTTTGGCTGTTAAGAAAGGAGTAGCAAAATTTGAACCTTATTTGTTACCAAAAAAGTTTCTTATTAGAACTGAAAATACTCAAGTGAAACCATTATTGACAAATAAACTTGGAACAAGTGTAGCTGAAAGGCCACTTATTAGAATGCAAATGTGGTTTGCGCCATTTAAATTTGATATTGTCCATATTAAAGGAAAAGACAATTTTTTTCCAGATTTCTTAACCAGGAATGGAGCAAATCAAGAAGGAACTCGAAACATTGAAGTTCGAGATGAATGTGAAAATAGCTACGATAGAATCCAGGATAACAATGATGGAACTGGTTGCAACCAAGCCAGTATTTGAGAAAGCCAGCAGGGCTATATTATCTGAAGGCCCTAGTGCCAATAAATTTGAAGGTTTTTATGTCAATATTGAACAAGAAGCATTAAAGCTTCATAATCTATTTGTTAAGGAGAATACTACTTTGTCTCCCTCACCGGAGAAAATTAATACAAAGGATAGTATCTCTATACCAGAGCTAAATCGCTCAAATATTATCAAAGCCTGCAACACCCCTGGTGTTATGGATATCAAAAATAAAAATGATTTTATTTTGGTATATGTATTGTTCAATCTTGTCTATTGCTGGTTCACCAGTATAGGAGGATGGATGAAAATTCTAACGTCTGAAACTTATAACAAAATTAATCTACATTCAGGAGCCCCAGCTTAGTAGGTTCGCACTCTTTATGAAATGGAAAATATAATTTATATTTACCCGTCTGAATCATTAAAAGAAATTTCTATACTGCCAAAGGATGTTGTCCGAGCTACTGAAAGATATTGTCAAGTTCTTAAACATAAGAATATTTATATTAGGTTTTTCTCTGCTTGTTCTGAATGGGAAGATGAAGAAGATAAGTTGCTTCGAGTAAACCATGTCATAAGAAGAGCTACCACTTCTAAGCATTTCCAGCTTAAGAAAAGTGAAGTTCATGAAACTACAGCAGAAGACACTATCAAGGTGATAGCTCTCTGTAGAGCCAAAGGATATAAGGAGCAGTTCAAGCATATTCAAAAGGTTATTGAAGAAAAAAATATTTGGGTTTACGAGTCACAAGATCACATGATTTACAGTAAAACTGTTGCACCCACTAAACAAGAAGATTGCCACTATCTCGACACATGGTATGATCATATATTTGAAGGACAAGCTAGTAGTACACAAAAAACAAAAAAAGAGCTGTGCAAACAGTTTTGGTGTTATCCTAATTATAAGTGCGAGTGCTGTTGCATTGAAGGCGACATCTCACCAATCTCTCTTGACACATTAGAATTTCCGGAAGAGTGTTTGAGTCACATACGGAAAAGTAAGGGACCCCTTTATCACTACTTTATCAAAATCATTTTGATAAAGAAAAACTGTGGGTTTACCTTAATTATTTCCAGATTACGACAAAAAAACTTTAGGCCAGATACCCAATATCTTACACAGTTAAAGCAATGATAATGAAGGACAACTGTGGAGCTTTTTCCAGTCTATAAATTGAAGACTAGTTCTCAAGAGTGAGGGGGGAAAGTAAAAAAAATCAAAAATTTATCTTTTTACCTTGTATTCCAAGTCTTGCAACAATTTCAATTTCTTTCTTTGAAGTGAAGTGTGTAATAAGGTAATCTCTATAGCGTTCTAATTTCCTTAGAGAAAGTATCAAGAGTGTAGCCGAAGTATGTATATGTACTCTTATATGAGAGATATTAGTGATATGTTTATGAAAGTTGTTTGAAAATGGTGTATTCTCATCCTTATAACTTTCTCAAAAACTCTCGTCTTACTTATACTCCAACGGTGAAAACCTTGAGGGTTAGTACAAGTATCTTGTTGTTATTTTACCGTGTGTAGGTGTTTTTAGCATTGTTGAGAAAGCATTGAGAACCCTGTTACCATTCAAGGTGATATTTTAAGGAGTTGAAAGGAAAACTGTTATTCCGTGTGGTCCATTGTGATGTTTTATATCAAATACTTGCATTAATTGTTGCACTCATGTTATTTATGAAGTTCTTATGACTTTTATTCATAGCCTAAGAAGAAAAATTTAGAGATTATTTATCATAATATTGATAGTTTGATGCCAGGATATACCATCAAAGGATGATACCAATTTTTTATAAGGCAGAAAAATTAAAGATAATAATTTGAGAGCTTAATTGAACTCTTTTAAAATTAAGATGGCCTGGTTATAAATTTTATGTTGGAAAAATGGCATTCTTCAATGGATCAATTCCATGTATTTTCTCGGGGGACAGAGAGTTTCTTGATGCATAATTTGGGAGCTGTATTTGAATACTCAGATCACCTCCAAATCAAGCCTCCCTTGCACCATATTTACGCCCATTTTATGTACAGTTACACAATATTGAAAACACAACTAGTTTTCATTGTACAAGATTTTTTATGTGATTTTGTTGACGAGAACTACAATATTCTATGTGGGCTTTGTTTCTTCTTTTACTAGCTTTTCTTCTATTGGGCTTTGTTTCTTCTTTTACTAGTTTTTCTTCATTGCTTCCATCTATGTAATTAGCTTACTCTCGCAGTTCTGAGATCCATTCTCTCTAAAGATACATGTATTATATAAAGCTAACAGAATCCACATAATAAGAGCAATTACATTTTCACTTGTCCTTTCTTCCATTGAGGTAGGGGAAAATTAGGCAGAAAAGTAAGTAAAATATGTATGCAGGTGCATAATCTAAACTCGACAAAAATAGCACTTTAACAGTACTATAAAAGTACTTAAAAAGATACTATACATTAAAACTGAAAAATCCCGGAACATGCAAAATAATAATAAGACTAGAAATAAATCAATTTGGGAAAAGATAAAACTAAGAGTGAGAGGACAAACCTTTCAAAACCTCAAGCTTTGGCTGTCTTTGTATGGTCGAAAGTGCAGCTTTGAAGTTCTCAAGTGATAGGAGACCAGATTTCAAATCCATATGAGAAACAGTAGAAAACCTATTCCAAAGGAACATATGATGCGATTCTACAAGGCAAAACAACACCCTACATGCTAGCCAATTCCAGACATGAAAGTTACACTTACAAAAATCTTTGCAGATGGTTGACAGTTGAATCAGAATAAGATAGGGTATCAACAATTTCTTTGAATTTGTAATCTGCAAATATCTTCTGTAAAATGTCAAGGACTATTAGCAATATGCATTAGAATGAACAGGGAATAGGAAATTATGCATTGCCTAAAAAACATTTTCTATAAAAAGGGACTAGGTTATTTTTAAAAGTAATAGTGGATCAGAGTTCAATTCTCCAAAGAAAACAATTTCATTTGATGTTAAAAGCAAATCACACTATTACACTCATAGAAATGCATCTCTATTGCATAAATGACAAGTAATGTGCAGAAGAATGAGCATAATAGCTTCCACCACAGCTTAGATAGCACAAGGAAAGGGAAGGAAAAAACATAAACAGGAGGCAAGGAAATAAGACGAGTATACGAACTAAACGGATGCAATGCCATCAATCATGATTTGGGTGCTTCGCTCTATTGTCATGGTTTGAAAGTGGATGGAAATGTTCGGTTTGACGGTCATTCTCTCTTAACAACATGGTCCAAGCTGTTGTTACACAAAGGTCAAGCTTGGTTATTCTTCTTCAATTTGTTAGTGTTTTAAGTCTTGCATTGAACAATCTATACTCTAGGATCGTTCTTCTTTGGATAAATCATCAGAAATTTACAAAACCAAAATATGTAAGCAATTGCAGAGTGAGATGCATCAGAATTGAATTGGGACCTACTGGTCCTAGATAGCTCATTCCTCTAATTTAAGACTCCATAAAACCTGGTTATGATTGATTAATTGACAGAATAACAATTTTCCAGATTTTCTACTATGTAATAATATATGTAGGAATAGTTCCCCTTTACCTATACAAATCTGTAACATTCTGATGATTTAATGTAAGGAATCCCCCCCCCCCAAAACAAAACAAAAAAAATATATATATATATCAGAGCCATCTAGGGTTCTGGAAATTTTCTATTCTTCCCAAAATATTTTGTTTACTGGCCTTCTTTGCTAATCAATTTCAGCATTCATAGCTGTTACAGTTAGTTGAATGTCACAATAACTGAAACTTCGTCCTTAAAGCTATCAGACCTGAAATGAGGCCAGGAAAAGTTTTATTTGGTGGGAAAAAATTCTAGTGGAAGTATTGATGGCAAGTACAAACTTTGGCATGACAAGCCTTGTAATACAAAGGCAACTTGCTGGACAATACATGGGGGCATATCAATGTTGGGATGAAAGCAGTCAGACATCTAATAATGCTCACCAATGTCTCCAGATTGCAGTTGATCAGCGATAAGTCAAGGATGCAGGGCATAGGGGAACCCTATAATTGCCAATTTCACTAAGAACAACAGGAGGATCTTTATAGGTTTCAGTCAAAACACACTATTTTCCAATCTTTCGTCTAATGCAACTATAGCTCAAACAGGTTACCTTTTTGCTCCATTTTATTCTAAAACTACAATATCATACCCCTGGATTATTCAATCAGAGGCTACATACCATGATTGGTACATCGATGATATTTTTATCTTGTATCTGAAAAGCTAATGTATCCTTACTAAAGAAAATAATTTTAGGAAAAGGATACGAGGAGTTTGACATTGAAAGCTGTTACATATTCATGTGGAAAGCTTGAATTTGTTGGCAATAGCAGAATGTGTTCTAAAAGCCTGCACATTTGAAGCATATAAATCAAGGTGACGTCATTCTTGGCGACGAGTCCAAGAATCTCAATATGAAGCAGGCGATAGCTATTAACCTTTCTGTATCCTCCCTTGAGGGAGGGAGAAATAACAGCTTCCTATGTGAAAAACGAGATCTTACTCTCTTCTCCAAAAGCTGATCAGCATCCTGCAATTCACACTGGGGTTTTCAACATTTTTCAAAGTTTTCAAGCCACTGAAACATTTAAATATTTTCGAATGTTCTCTGAATATGTAGTCAGTACATTACCAACAGGAACCAAGATACCCAAGCAAATAGATGGCTTTTAAATTTGTAAATTTTGATTTTAAGCAATTCATAGAACCAATACTAGTCGTGAACCATAAACAAGATTTTCTTGGTTCTGATTGTTCGTGGTCAGGTATAGACTTGCAAGACAATAACAAAATAATGTTTGACCGATAGCAGGATACATTAAAAGAGGACAACAAAGATAAAATTAGAAGTAGAAGCAACATACTAATCTGCAACTGATACCAATAACAACAGCTTGTGATGTTACTGATTGCATTGCATCTAGCAAGCTATAAAGAAATAGTTGTTTACCCTGCGAAGAGTAAGATAAGCACCATAAGTACATTGTGTCAAATATTGAACCCCATAAAGTTATTTAATTTTCTAAAATTTCTTCTCAAGTTTATGACCTTACCTGTGCAAAAAGGTCAAACTCGTCAAGTACAAAAATAATTGTTTTATGAGCTAATCCACACTCTCTGTTAACAAATGTACAAAAACCATATTAAATTTCTCTGAAAGGGAAAAAAATAAAAAATACATGAAAATAACAAGCATCCGTTTCACTGTTTGTCCTTGTGGAAAAGGGGATAGCAACTAAGTGGACTTACCGCAACATGGATACCATAAATTGGGCATTATCATCAAATGATGCCTGCCAACATTATCCAAGAGAGTGAACAAAATGTCTTAGCTTAATATTTGATACTAACTAGTATTATGCAATTATAAATAGCATGAGAATGATACCATTTTGGAGAAAAGCAATTGATGTTCCTGACACAACTGCCTAGATATCTCCTGCGTGATTGAAAGACTATAAAAAGTGACGAGAGAGATAGGTAAATAGCACATTTCTTTTTGATGGACCACAATATCACACCTTATCGAGGCTATAAAACACACAAAAAATTATAACTAATATGCACATTTAAGTCATGTACCATAGTACTGGTGCTCATAACAATCAACAATACATTATAACTAATGTATGTTAAGACTTGAGAATATCCTGATTAACAAATTTGTTTGGGATGTAAGTTCAATGCCTACAAATACTTATAGTTGGAAGAATTTCATAAGATCCATTAATTGCATTTATAAGAATACAGGATTTTTTACATTACAATGACATATAGAAATTTATTAAAGATTCTCATTCTTAATAGTATGAAAGCTTAATTAAAGAGTCTAAAAATGTTGAATTGACTTTATACAATCTCATTAAATTACAGCCTAACGGAGATACAATTCAATCCAGCTTTGGATTATTGACCTGAAGATTCACAGTCTCCTTTCTATCTGATGTATTCGCACTTTGTGTAAGTTGCACATAAAAGTAACAATAATGTAGATCAAAACAAAAATTTTGTATTAAAAACACAAATGTTTCTCTGGACACGCGCGCCACCGAAAACTGATGCAATCATGCATCCAAGATTACAAGAGATGTAAAACTAGGAATTGTAAGAGAAAGATATAGGTGGCCATCTAGGCATTGTATCTAACTGAGATGTGAAGTTCATTGTCATTAAATGTATTCTTCCAAGTTTGCATAACTAACAAATATTTCACCTCCTATTCCTCCTCTGAACAAGCTTGATTCACAAATATATCTCTGCACTCGTTATTAGTAAACTTTTTATATAAGGGGTCCTTTTTTCGCATGATTTTTTCAATAAGCTTCACATATATTCGGATTCTAGCTGAAAATAAAATAAAGCAACGTTTAGATACCTGGAAGCTTTTCTTGTTAAATGTGTACACTTCGAATTTAGTTTTGAAATAAATTAGGGTGGTTAGTTAAGCTCTAAAGCTACATTTGCATACAAGTATTATGCACCAAAACACTTGTAAACATGTAGAGAGGGGAATTAAGTATAACCCAACCTTGAGTGCACAATTATGATCACAGTGCAGAAGCCCATTGAGCTTAATCTAAATCCATAATCACAATATTAGTTACAGATCCCAAAAAACATAAAAAAATATTTGACTGGACATTTTAAGCAAAGTAATTACTTCATATCATATTTCAGATAATGCAGTCAATATTACAATAAAAAAGGCTTACCACTGAAATCATGTCAGGATATTCTTCCAACAGATCTTCAAGAACTAGCTCTAAAATCTATATAAGTTCATCACGAACATATAATTATAAAACATGATAAATAATTAAACTATATAATTAATACTTTGAAAATTCTGTGCAATGAAGATAATAAGGCAAGATGAACACACCGCAACTTTTCCGCAGCCACGAGGACCTAGAAGCAGAACAGAATTGTTGCACGCCTCAGTTAGCGAACTCGATATTATATATTTCAATTTACTGAAAATACAGAACCAAAAAAAAACATAAAAAATTGCAGTGACGTGAATGAAATTTGACTATGGTTCTACAAATAAATACAAAAGCTGAATCCTATCATTAATGTCCTGCAAAAAAACAAATTATGGCTCTTCTTACTGTCATATCATAAGAAAAATACTTTCAATTAATTTCCTGGAAATCGATAATATGACAAATCACCACATTGAACCTGTAGTTGGAGTCGGGAGAATTGGAGAAAATAGAGAAGATGAAATTGGGATTGCAGATTCTACTTTTGACGAGGACTTGGGCCTGCTCTGCAGGGCTTTCTCGAGCCATTTTCTCTGTGATTTTTGGGGAGGAAGAGACTGTCGCTGCACTCATATATCAGATGTAAAGATTTGGCAGGAAGAGATTATCACCCAGACTAGGGATATTAATAGATCATGCTAGGCAAAACGCTGTCAAAAAAACCAAATATGATATCAAAAAGAATTGATCTTGTAAGTTTATTTTCTTGAAAGTTGGGCCTTCTCTTAATTTATTAGTTATTCTAACTCCATTGGCAGTTGAAAGCTCCCTGTTATCAATTCTATCAAGGCCTCTTCTTTATGCTTCTACTACCATGGTTACATGTGTCTAAATGTTCATATGTCGATCACGTATTTACGCATTCTTTCTCCTTTTCTTTGTTAGATGCTGATTCATTATTATCTTATGCTGGATATGCACTACCATATGTATTGAGAGCTAACCAAAAAATCTAGCGAAGAAAAACTCTGCGGTGTCTTTTTCTATGTTAGGTTGCATAGAGCTTTTGGGGAAACAAACTTAAAATCCTATCACCCTTGAATACAGATAAAGTTTGGTGAAGGCGAGAAAACATCAGTGAAGATAAACTGTTGATGGGATCCAACGGATCAATGTAAACGGATTCATCTAGTTGACTTCAAATCTATTACGAAGAAGAGTTAGTTTGTTATTGTTGCTTTAGTTGTTGGATAGAGTTAAGTAGGCATAGATTTAGAAATAGCTCAAGTAAGCCTCTTAAGAATAAGAACTTGATGAAAACCAGGATGCTCTACTGCTTATGTGAAGACCGACTAACATACTTAACATACTTAGAGGAGATATTAGAAAAACAGAACGAGTGCCAGACAAAATTATACTATCTAGTTAAGGGAAATGGAAAATGAGTGACTGGTCGCTTAGTATATCCTTGAAGCAGAATATGTAAACTGAAAGCCAATTGCATGAAGCAGTAAATCAAAAGATTTGCCATAATGTGAAATTTACCAAAATTCTAATATGATATTGCTTGATAAAGTGAATAACCTAGAAGTTACATTATACATCAAGAAGACGAGCAATATTATCATGGTTCCCAGATAACAAATGGATAATTTCAGAAATTCTATTCTAGCTCTATATGCAGTCAAGCAAAATGTTTTTGGAGTTCTATATTTCCAACGAGGATTGAATATGGGTGCCTCCATACCATTACCATGCATTCAAGTCACATTCAAACCATACATAATAAATGGCTCTTCTCAATGTCATTACGTCAAACACATTGCCCACACAATTAAACCTCTGCCCAAATATTGCTCAAACAGAGGCAGAACAAATTTGTTTTGCATAAAAATATATAGTGACCGCGCTTACAAGACAAGAGGCCGGAAGCGGTTATAGACGAGACGAGAGGCTGGAAGCACGTACGTTCAGGGACGACTGACGAGTAGATTTATAGCGGTTATAAACTCCTTACTTAGGGACTCGATTCGAGAGCAGAGAGCGCCGAGCGAGGGAGATTGAGAAGCCGTTATAAACTCCTGACGAGCAGATTTATAGCAGATTCAGGGACGACTGACGAGCAGATTCGAGAGCTGAGAGCGCGCAGCAGAGAGGGAGATTGAGAAGCCGGGAAAGAGTGAATTTGGGAATTTCGTGGTTTCAATTTCAACACCAACAGGTAATTGGTTTTGGGCTGGGCAAATTTTTGTTTCAGTTTTTATCTTTGGACTGGATAAGTGAAGAGCCCAGTTTTCGATTTCACCCAAAAAAAAAAAAAAAATGAAAGTGTTGGACTGGACCAAAATTTCTGTGCATGGTGCGGCATGCAAAGAATGTATGCTTTAAATATTCCATCTTTATGGCGTGCAAAGAATGTATGCTGTATAAGTAATTCATCAATTACAGCATACATTTACGACATGCCGTAAATAGTCTATTTTTACGGTATGCATTTTTTGTAAGTAGAAAACGAATGGCGTAAAAAGTTCATTTTGTTGTAGTGACAGCTTATAAGTTACAAGAAGTCGAGTTAAATGTTTCATTATCGATCGTACTTTACACCACGTTATGGTTTACCCATTGATCTTTGATCTGTTATCCTCCATTACACACCGGGTGATTTCCATCTCAGTTAATGCTGACATAGAAGATGGAAATCTGAGTTGACCTGTTATCTCCTTCTAAATGCCATGTCAGCACCACATCGCACAGCCAAACACACATTTACCATCTCAAAAAAGGGAGGGGGTGGAGAGAGAGAGAGAGAGAGGAAGGAAATTCCTAAATCAATTTCAAAGCTCCATCATCAAACCCCAACTCAAAATCACCTTCGAAACCCTAATGCACAAATCAAGAAAATCGATTACCGAAATCCCTCAATCCCTGCTATTGTTAACCAGTCTTAGATTCCAACCCAAGAGTGAAGAAGCAGCATCCATTACATTTCAGGAATTCGAGCAAGGACTCGTTAGGGTAAAATGGATGGACCGTTTGAAGGTAAATTCGAAACACCTAATGTTTTTGTGTACAAGCATATCAAAAAGTTAAGAATTATGCAAGTGTCGGTTGTATGATTATTGTGGGTGAGATGACTCTGAGAAATTAGACACAGGTTTTTTTGGTGCTTGTGTTGTTGAATTAATGATCCTGTATTACTATTATTACTGTTTTGTTAGTAAAAAAAAACTAATTTCTAAAATTATATTTTGGAAAGAAAAATAAGCTTAAAGAGATCTTCTAGTCTCCCCAGTTTGAATTTTAGCTTTCTCAAGTTTGACTTCTTGGCCACGACAAACTAGGAATACCAATGGGATTGATGCTCTGATTCAATTTAATTGCCTGTGATTTCCCATATATGTTTGAGGCCTCATTATCATCATCATATTAATTTAACCCTAGTCATACTAATATTCTGTTGGAAA